GTTAGGTGGAGTACACAAAATCACAATGAGCAACACAGAACCACGTAGCAACACGGAGCGACGTACCTTGAGCAGTGTCAAAAAACGCAACTGGTCCTCTGGTCGGTCGATAAAGATCGATGTGTGTGCGCGCGTTCATTTGATACTATACGCCTTGGAACGACGGCAACGACCACGGCAGCCGTGAATGCAGTGACATTCATCGATCGCCACACGACCATCACACGACATCGATGCCGTGCCGTTTGGCGATCGAGTGTGTGCCCGCTCTTTTGTTTCTTCGCGCCACCAAAGGAATTTGTTTGATCGAACTTTTATCGACAGTCTATATTCGATGTGTGTGCGCTTAGCTTAGCGTAATGGTACAGCGAATTGTGCGTTCGGTAGGTCGGTTATGTGGACAATATGTAGCTCTAAGACCACGAAACACATTCTTCGTAGAACGCCCATTTTCGTAATGCAGCTAAACAATTTCTATACTCTGTGCCGGGCTATGTCTTTCCATGATGAAATATCAAACAATACTGAATAAAAACGTAACTTCAGGTGACAGGATTCATACACGTTCTCCCATGAAATCTCCAACAAAAAAGTACCTCTAAATGAATCACCTTATAAATAGTCAGATCCCCCATAAGATACACTAGACCGACAAATAATAAAGAAAACGGAGGTACATCGAAAACAACAACTCAGTAAGTTATATTATCACCATACCTGTAACAGGTTAACGACTAGGAAGAAGGGATCTAAACTACAGAGCTAACTTGTAAATGAATTACAATAATTTATTAAAAATATAATATAATGTAAAAAACACATTCAAGTCAGGAGATTCTTTAAAGTAATAATTATTTTTCCGAAAATATAATACCCCGTATATATTCAGCCAAAAGTTACGCTTTAGGACGTTTGAGGAATACAACTCTTTTATTACAATCAAAGCAACTATCTTGTTACTATCTTGTTAGGGTTTTATTAATACTTAGCAAACACAGCTGTATATTACCAAATGAGGCCATTTTTTTAAAACTCGACAGGCGAGCTCTAGGTGGCTTTGTGACCGAGTGAAACGTGAAACTCATACAAAGAGAGAAAGGATCTTTTGAGATACTTTATATTTCATACTCTTTTTCTTTTTAAATTTCATGTAGCATTTCATAACGTTTTATTACACCTATTTCTTTTGATGTATGTTTTTGAATTTTGTCAGCGCTTGCTTGGCTTATGCATCATTTATCTTTTTGCTATTTTCTGATTTTGCAGTATTAATCAACTAGCTTTTACATATTATGTGTGTGTTGACAATAATTGATAAGTTGCAGAATCTTAAATGAGATTATCAATACTTAATTTTGGTCCATATAAAGGAATTTAGTATTTATTTTTTAATGTTAAAATCCTTTAATGTTTTGGTAAAAACCAAGTTTTATGACGAATATGCTAAAGCCATTATAGGTTCAAATGGAGAATAATTTCTTAAAGTTTTACCCCAATAATTAACAAATATATATTAACTTCAATGCCTGATACGGAGCGGTTTAAACTATGGTGACTTTTAATTTATTTATCCCAAGATTTGGCAGGATTCTTTTCTACGGTACGAGATACGAGACCGGACTGTCTCGCTTGAAACCTTATTTTTGCATCAAGAACAATCTAGGTACTAAGGTAACAAGTTTTTAAGACTCTAAAGATTTTTCTTCAGAAGTTATCGCAAAAGCAGACAAAAATCATCATCATCTAGCTTTCTGCATCCAAAGTTGAACATAGGTTCCCCCTAATTTATTTTAGTTATATAGGTCTCGAACTTCCTGCAATCAGTTTCCAGCTATTTTTTTAATGTCGTTTGTCCATCGTATAGATGATCTACCTCTCCTTCTTTTGTCTTCTCGTTGTCTACACACCGTAATTTTTTTGTTCAGGTTCACTTCCGCCATATTATGCGCTCTATGATCTCTATGACGCATACATTTCTTATTATTTCCTCGGTTTTAACCCTTTTTCTTTTTTTGGGAACTATAAAACGAAAAATCCAGGGAAACGAGAGGACTGTCAAAAGAGTGATAGTAGTAGTAGTAGCTAGAATGACCTAAATTAAGCAAAACAACTACAATTAAATTGAAGAAAAAATATGGGTAGAGAATAAAAACTTTAGTAACAATAAAACACTGAAAACTTAATTAATAACTAATTAATATATGATAAAAATTGGTCGAGGTGCCTGTTAGGGTGCATATATTAATTCAGTTCATAGTCATATTCAATTTACAATAGAAACAGAACAAAATCAATCCATAAATTTTTTAGACTTAAAAATTAGCAGATTTCAAAACAAACATGACTTCTCTATATTTCATAAACCTACCCATACTGACACGACTATACACAATTCGTCATCCCATCCAACACAACATAAACTGGCAGCTTATCATAGTATGTTACATAGATTAACAGAAATTCCGATGTCAAAAGACAACTTTGAGACAGAATTAAATATAATTAAACAAATAGCAGTAAACAACGGATACAACGAACAAACAATTAATAAAATGTTAAAACAAAAACTACACAAGAAAGCCCTGAAATTAGTATTTCCACCACCAGAGAAAAAACCCAGTACCTTCTGCTCGATTACATATACAGGCAAAATAACAACAAAAATTGCCAAACACATAAAAAAGAAAGGAATAACACCAGCTTTCCGAACAAATAACAACCTAGGCAAATATATTAAAAATAACAAGAGCCAAAATAAAAAACACTTAAATAGTGGTGTGTACAAACTTCAATGTGGCGACTGCCCAAAAACTTACATCGGTCAAACTGGTAGAAACTTTGATAAACGAATAGCAGAACATAAAAGGGCTTTCAAGAATAGAAAAACAGATTCGACATACGCACTTCACCTTCTAGATCATAATCATTCTTTTAATGACAAATTTAAAATTCTTCACATTCAAAATAAAGGCCTTAAGCTATCTTTGTTAGAATCTATGGAAATCAACAAATTAAAAAACACAGATATAATTCTGAATGACCAACTTGAGACAAACAGTTCTCCCCTCCTCAACCTATTTCATTAGAGACTATAAATTTGTAAACCCAAGCCAAAATAGATCACTTGAGAAAGGCAATCAGCCGAAACAGCTGTAGTGATAATATTTAAAATAAATTTTGTGGAAGTTTGAAAACAAAGTTTTCAGTGTTTTATTGTTACATAAAATGAATTTCCATCAAGTAACGGTCGAATCCATCAATTATTTAAAAACTTTAGCTTACTTGGGTGTCATTACGTATCTATACATACAGTCCCTGGCCAAATTATTAGACGCACTATAAGATTTTATAAACAATGTTAATTATGAGCTGATACTAAATAGGTTTTTTCTATATACCAGAAACAATGTATGTTATTTGGTTGTCCATTTAATTGTCTATATTTTATTACCAATAAAACATCATTATTAATGAACAAATATGTATTTATTGACTCTTAAAAGAAAACAGAAATAACGACAATTTAAGTGTTAATATTTTGTTGAGCCACCTTTAGCCGCTATTAGAGCTTTAATTCTGCGTGGCATACTATCAATGCAAGCCTGTACTGTCTCTTGCATTTGAGGATGATGATTCCACACGTAAATTATTCTTTCTAAGAGCTGCGTTTTGTTTGTAATCATGTCTTTAACCACTTCTCTTTTCATCAACTCCCAAACGTTTTCTATGGGGTTCATATCGGGCTATTACCCGGCCAATCCAACAAAGAGATATTTTGTTCTGCCAAAAAAGCTTTGACAGACCGTGCTGTATGGCAGGGAGCTCCATCTTGCATAAAAATGAATGGTTCCCCATTTGGAAACCAGTCTTGGAGCTGTAGAATCAACCGCCTTTGCAAGACATCTTTGTACTGGTCTTGCCGCATCATTCCTTTTACCACGTACAGACGTCCAGTACCCTTGCCGCTAATGACTGACCAAATCATCACTTTTGTAGGGTGCTTCACAGTCTGAACAACACAGTCAGGATGAAACTTTTCTCCATGACGACGACGCACAAACTGAGCTTTGTTTTGCAAAATTTCAAATGTGCTTTCATCACTGAAGCAGACCTGTCAACCATCCAGAAGTCCACATCTTTATCACGCAACTGTTTGACTCAATTCAGACGCTTTGCTTTCATTGCAAGTGTTAACTTGGGCTTCCTAGCGGGGCGGCAGGCCATAAAACCCAAATCTTTTAATTTTCTTCGCACAGTACGTTCAGAAGCATTCACATTGACATCTTGGAGTTGCGATTTTATCAATTTTGTGGTAGCAAATCTGTTTTCCAGGCAAATTTTCTTTCTGACCTTGGAGTGAAAATAGGTTTTCTGTCGCATTTTTTCTTTCGTTTTGGGCTCAATTCTTTCCTAATTCAATCTTCTTCTTTATGCTTCAGAAACCTTTAACCTTCGTGATATTTCGCGGTTTGAAAATATTTTAGTATTCACTAGGGCCTTTATCTCAGCTTTTTTACGTGGTGAAAGATCGCGTTTTTTACCCATGATGAAAGCGTACAAACAGATTATTTAAACTCTGCACACGAAATAAACAAATAACTGCGTAATATAAAACTGTTTAATAAATAAACACAGCACATAAAGCCACAGAGACACGTTCGCAACTGAAGCACCTGCGAACGCGATGGGAGCAGGTTTAGACTTGTTTACGTTCCGGCAAGAATTGATTAAGACAGTGTTGCCATTTATGACAAATACGAAATATATAATAAATTTCCTGAATAAAAATCCATTTCATGTATGTTTGTATGTGAAAGAACTGCATATAAACTCGAATAAAACATCAAATTATTAAAAAACAGGAGTGTGTCTTATAATTCGGCCAGTGGCTGTACAATGCTAACACCGAATAGTAATGTAACAAAGGTTTGGGATAGATAATACGTTAAAGTGCATGAGATACATGACAGCCAAAATATATATGTTGCATCATCATTTACCCTATTTACCCTTCTTCGCCACCCAATGGATCTATCAAGGAGTGTTTTTCTGTCTGGGTCAGTTGCTTCGTTCGCATTACATGTTATATCCACCTCAGACGCCATATTTTGTCACTAGTACAAAGTTTTTCTTTCTCTAGTGCTAGATTAAACAATATACTTGAGAGAAGGTCACCCTGGTGTAGACCTTTATTGGTTCTAAACGGCACAGACAACGTCTTCTGGATTTGTACCCTTTCCTCAACATTTTGAAGGATTATTTTTGATAATATTGTAGCATGTTGAAAATTTCTTAAAACTATCTTATATACAAGAATAGGAATTTTCTAAGACGCCTCTGGCCCAGGTATAAATGTTTTCCAGTTTATTTGTGAGGTAAAGAAAAGAATTCCATATTCCAGTTATTAACTATGATTTTCAGCACAAGTGACCATTTACTAAGTATGAAAATACTTATAGAACGAGCAAATGAATACCACATTCCTCTATATATGGCGTTCATAGATTTCGAAAAGGCTTTCGACAGTGTCGAACATTGGGCAGTGAAAAGTTCTTTGATTAACAGCCGAATTGACCACAGATACACGGAACTAATAACCAATATATATAAGGAAGCCAAAACAAAAATTAAAGTATATGAAGGAACAAAATCATTACAAATAAGTAGAGGCATGAGACAGGGTGATACAATATCACCGAAACTTTTCAATCAGGCTCTTGAAGATACTTTTAAAAGATTAGAATGGGAAAAAAAAGGTATAAAAATTTATGGACAACGCTTGAACCATCTAAGGTACGCTGATGACATCGTATTGATAACCGATAAAAAAGATGAATTATTTGAAATGATGAAAGAACTGGACGTAGAAGCTGGAAAGATAGGCCTTAATATGAATTACAGCAAGACCAAAACTATAACAAATACAGATGAAGACATCACAATGAGAATCGGACAAGATGAAATAGAACAAGTTAAGGATTATATATATCTTGGTCAAACTATAAAACTTAACAAAGAGAACCAAACAGCAGAGATCAAGAGACGAGTTAGACTGGCATGGGCGGCATTTGGCAAACTAAGCTACATTCTTAAAAACAAAAGATATCCACAGCATCTTAAGACCAAAGTATATAATCAATGCGTACTCCCTGTTCTTACGTATGGCTCCCAAACGTGGACATTTACAAAAGCAAACATGGACAAAATCATAAAAACCCAAAGAGCAATGGAAAGACAAATGTTGCACATAAGACTAATGGATAAGAAGAGAAACGAGTGGATAAGAGAGAAAACAAAAGTGAGGGATGTTAGACAAGAAGTTGCAAAATTGAAATGGAGATTTGCCGGACACAATATAAGACAAAAAGAAGACCGATGGAACAAAATTCTTATAAGTTGGAGACCGTGGGAATATAAACGAAGCAGAGGAAGGCCCCAAATGAGATGGGCAGATGATATCAAGAAGCACGTGGGCTCTAGATGGATGACTGTTGCGACAGACAGAGAAGAATGGAAAAGGATTGGGGAGGCCTATCTCCAAAGATGGACCGAAGAAGGCTAATTAGATAGAGATAGAACTATGGTTTTATTTATTTGTATATTATTTAGTTCTACGATTTTAAAAAGCTATTTGATTCAAGGTTAAATACCATGTACCAAGAATCCGGTACGCTTGCCCTTTTTTAAAACGCGGGGAAGGAAAACTGGTAGCCGGTATTAGATCAAGGTCGAGGGGAATTCAAGTTTTACGTTTGAAGATCTTATCAAAGAGGGCAGACGTATTTAGTGGTCGGTCAAAAACCGGCAAATTTGTAGAAAATAGTGGAATGATACTCTATGTAATATGTCAGTTTTGAAAGAGTAATCACTATTTCTATTTTTTCCTAAGTATCTAAGAGATTTGTGTCGCCTGCAGCAATGTTGAAAGATATCTACATGTTCATTTTTCCAGTTTAGTAAGAAGCCGACGCAAGGTGTGCTCCAGTACCCCAATTTTCAACCGTAGAATTTTATTCGCTCTAAGCAGCCGTTTTAGGATACTTTTTTCATAGTATGGAGATGAATTTGAGAGTTTGAGTTATAATTCCTACCCCCAGAAATTTAAAGTAAAGTGTAATCTAGTGAAACTCAGGTAACTTTTTTTGCTTTGAACTTTTAAAGTAAAGATAGATATTTTTTTCTCTAATAATAATAATTGCTTTTCATAACAATTTAAATTGTAATAATTAATATTGTAAATTTTAGTGTGTGACCATTGCTGTCATTTTACTTGTTCTCTGTACCCGTTGTAAAATTTTGTGTTGACATATGACAGCTAGCTTTAATATTTTTGACATTGGTTTGTTTTGTTTTTAAAAAAGGTTAACCTCTTACATAGTTTTCTTTTAAAAGATATTTTTTTATTTGTAATGATTTATTTCTGCACAGTTTATAGCCCAGTAACAAGTAACAGTGTTATAGCATCTTCCACTTGTAAACAGAGTTTGTAAACAGATATGACATGTAAGTTTTTCTTTGTTATTTTTGTATTTACTTTTGTGACTATTAATATAGTGTTTATGTATTGTCTGATTATGTAACTGTTGTGTCTATTTAATAAAAAAAAGGTTTATAACCCCTTTTGTCATTCTTTTTTATGAAAGAAGACCGTTTTTTCTTCTTCCAACAGGAGGTTCCTTCGAAGCGGCGTCCATTTTAAATAGCTAGAGGTCCCTTTTGTTGTTTCATTTGTCCATTTGACCATGAGATTCATGTAAGTACCCCTTTGTTTCATTTATTTGTAGGAGAGGAAATGGGCATTAAAATAAACTAAAACAAAACCAAATTTTTAATATTTAGTCGAGACCCACATCCCGATGCAAAGCATTAATTAAGCGTCCAAGTTGAAAAAGTTTACAAAATGACATATTTGCGAACTGTGATAACGAACCAACTAGATCCAGACATAGAAATAAAACGTAGAAGCGTTATGCAATGACTAAAACTACTTTTATGAAAATGAAGTCATTTCTTTGCAATAACCATCTCAGTTTAGAACTAAGGCAAAGAATGGTTAATTAAGTACTATGTTTGGTCCGTACTTTTGTATAGTGCAGAAGTGTGGACGCTAAAAGTATCGATCATGAACAAAATTGAAGCATTGGAAATGTGAGTTCATAGACGAATGCTGAAGATACCTTGGACAGCAAGGAAAACTAATGAAGAAGTACTAAGGAGCGTCAACAAAGATAGAGAACTGCTAAAGACTGTTAAACATCGAAAAATGTCTTATCTGGGACATATAGTAAGGGGAAGTCGATATAAAATATTACAAGTGATCCTTAAAGGCAAAATAGAGGGCCGTAGAGGTGTAGGAAGAAAACAAGTTTCTTGGTTAAAAAACATTCGTGAATGGACTCAGATACCAAATGCAGGACAATTATTCCATATTGCAGAAGATCGAGAAGCCTTCGCAATGGTGATCGCCAACGTTGGATAATTCTGATATGGTACGTGAAGAAATAAAAGATGGTGCCATACGGTGGCATAGTATATTGGAGAATATTTTATACACACAGAATATTTTTTAGAAGCATAATTCTTAAAGCTTTCAAAAATATCCTCTTGCTTGTGTATTGTGCAGATTGTTTCAATATTCTAATCACTAGGGAGTGTTTCATGTTTTCATATTTCTTTTATAAGTTGTAATAAATAAGTATATATAGTTCGAGCGGGAAATTATCAAGGTGCTGCACTGTCTATCCAAATAACCAACAACTATAAATAATATATTATAACCACTTCCTAGTAAATTTAACAATATACTTGGAGTATACATTTTAAATTAGAAAAGTTTGTTAAAGTGGAACATGTGCCAGTCATTCAAAGTTTAAATTATGTTATGTCGATAATATTCGTAAATTGAAACTGTATCCACACTCATATTGACGACAAAATAAACTAAAATAGTTGTCTTAAACACCATTTCCACAAATTTTGTAGGTCTCATGTGGTTGTTTGAACTATACTTCAAGGTTATAATTTTGGTAGTACAATGTAACAATTCTACTAAACAGACAGTTTCTTTATAAATATCTTTAATATGCTTTAATACTATTAGGTGAGGTTTATTTGTATTGGACCGGTGCATCATCTCTGGAGAATTATTTAAAGAACGATTATAAATTGGTTATTTTGGCGAAGTATTAGCATATCTCGCAACAAGCAAAAAAAAATAGACTTATTTCTGATTATTTGGTTATCATCAGTACGATGCAGCCAAGTTAGTATAGGAGAACATTAACTTGGGAAAGGATCTCTACAGAAGTAATGTCATCAACTAGTCTATATTTTAACACTGCTGAATGTAGATCTCTCGTAAAATTTTCCATCTATTTCTATCTTGAGCTTCTTGCATCCAATAGAGCAATGTTCTTCTTCTTCGCGTGTCTTATCTTTCAAGGATAAAATTTTCCATCTATTTCTATCTTGAGCTTCTTGCATCCAATAGAGCAATGTTTTCTTCTTCGTGTGTCTTATCTTTCAAGGACATTGACGATCATCACGGTCCATTTTGCTCTCTCTGCAGCATTTCTGAAGAGTTCTATTGGTGTTTTTCCACTCTACTGCTTTAAAATTTTCAACCAGAATATGCGTCGTCTCTCCGGTTCCGTTTTTTCTTTCAGTTTTCCTTGTATGACCTAATTCTAATTTCTATTTGCAGATTTCTAGTGCATAATACGGCTTTCATCTTATTGAAAGCGCATCTTACTGCGTCGTTTCATTTCAAGGCTGCGGTCTCATTGTTCGTTTAGCTCACATCCCGAGTAATTGTATCTTTCTCTAAAGTGTTCCTTTAACGTAGATTGTTTCGTCTTTAATCTTCTTTTTACTGACAATCGCGGTTTTCATTTTTTATGTATTTAGCAACAATTTACAAAACTAGCTTGCTCAGGTTCAATTGATCTATAGGTGGCGTTAATTACACTCTCCATACCTCTGTGTAATTTAGATATACCATCTCCACAGTTGTATATTTCAACATCTCCCACTATTGGTCAGTTGGTCTTTAGTAACGCTTTTACATATTAGTTTTATAGTTCTCCCATTGACTGGGGGTTTAACT